CCCAAAGCTGGAGGAAGCCTGAAAAGGAAGGAAAGTTCCCCAAAGCCGGCCAGGCTTTTCTCAGCAGCTGAGCTGCTGCCCAGAGCCTTTGGCTCCCTGCACTCAGGGCCTCCAAGGAGCTGCTGCAGAGTCCCTGGGGAGGCTTTGTCAGGAGGGGCCCTCGGGGGGCTCCTTAAGGCTTCAAGGACCTGCAGGATTTTCAGAGCAATTTGGGGTTTGCTTTTGGTTTTGCATCTCTGAGAGGTTTGTGCAGCCATGGCCTCCAATTATCTGCTGTAACGAGTCCCTTGAGAGCCCCAGACAGTGACAACCCTCAGTGGGTCATTGATGCTTCAAGGCACTCAGGGTTTATGAAAAGACTTCTTTTTGACACTGAATCTGTTAGAGGTTTGTTCAGTAATGGCTTCCAATTATCTGCTTTAATGAGTCCCCTGAGAGCCTCTGTCAGTTGGGACACTCACTGTAGCTCATAAATGTTTCAAGGCACTCAAGGTAAATTTGTTATGACACTTCTTTTTGACACTGAGTCTTTGACAGGCTTTTTCAGTCATGACCTCCAATTATCTGCTCTAAAGAGTCCCTTGAGAGCCTTTGTCAGGAATGACCCTCAGAGGGGCTCATTAGAGCTTGAAGGTACCAGAGGTTTGTTAAGGTACTGTGCCTTTTCTTTTGATTCTGAATTTTGAAGAGGTTTGTGCAATCATGGCCTCCAATTCTCTGCTTTAATTAGTCCCTGGAGAGACTCTGTCAGTAGTGACACTCAGTGGGGCTCATTAATGCTTCAAGGCACTCAAGGGTTTTGAAGCAATTTTTCCTTTTGAAAGTGAGTTCTTGAGAGGTTTATTCAGTCATGACCTTCAATTATCTGCTCTAATGAGTCCCTTGGGATTCTCAATCAGTTGTGACACTCAGTGGGGCTCACTGATAGTTTAAGGAACTCAAGGTATGTTTATTAATAACCTTCTTTTTGACACTTAGTCTTTGAGAGGTTTGTTCAGTCCTGGCCTCCAATTATCTGCTCTAATGAATCCCTTGAGAGCCTTTGTCAGGAAAGGCCCTCAGTGGGGCTTGTTAAAGCTTCAAGGTACTAGAGGTTTGTTAAGGTACTTTGCCTTTTTCTTTGAGTTTTGAAGAGGTTTGTGCAATCATGGCCTCCAATTCTCTGCTTTAATTAATCCCTGGAGAGACTTTGCCTGTAGTGACACTCAGTGGGACCCATTAATGCTTCCAGATACTTTGGGTTTTCCTTCTAACTTTCACTTATGGACAGGTTTGTACAATCTCCCCTCAGTCCCTGAGGTTCAAGGACTCAGCTCCAAAAGCCCCCCGGGGCTCACTCAGGTAAAGCAAGTCCTGACAAACCATGGCCCTTCCTGTGATTTCCCTCTAGTCTAGACAGTAAATTAGGAATGTTGTCTCATGGAATCAGGGGACCATTGTGACACTGCCCAGAGCCTTTGTCTGCCTGCACACCTAGCCTGCACGGATCTGCTTGAAGGAGGCTTTGTCAGTGCCTGCCCTCAGTGGGGCCCAGCAATGCTTCAAGGGACTGGGAGTTTGGCTTCTGACTTCTTGAGCAGCTTCTTCAATCTTCTCTCAGTACCTCAGGATGATGGACTTGTCTCTAAACACACTGTGGGGCTCATTAAAATACAGAAAAAGAAAACTAATTTCCTTCCTTTAATTGTCTTCATGTCGTCAAGTTTTCAACAGCTAATTGGAGTTGTATTGTAGTTTAGCTGAGGAGGAAGCTTTTAAAGTGGAAGTCACAAAAATATAATTTTCTATGAAAGGGAGTGATTTACACAGAGCCTTGGGATGCAAGAGGGTCAGGGTGCAAAGGATTTGAACAGAAAGATAAGGGGGCAAAAGAGATTAGTAGCATTTAATCATTGACCAACTTAACAGTTAGCAAGTGATTCAATATAATTTTTGCAATTGAACAGTGA